CTGCTTTATTTTCAAGATTTTTCTCTTCAAAGTTTTGCCTGGATCCCACTAGGTCTTCACATTAACATGATTTCATGTCAACCAGTGCAGAAAAGTATTACTCAAATAAAGTCAGTAAAGAGAGAATGATTTACAATTTCCAGAGATTTGCTGGCTTGTCCTCCATTAAACATCCATTCAAACAGAACAGAAAAAGGTGATATGGGAATTGGAGCCTAGCACATATTGTGAAGATAAACAGATTCCCTATATTTCTGAGCAGATGTGTACTTATATGAGAACTGCCAGATAAATTAGGACACATCAATAGTCATCAACCAGTTTGTTAATGAACTGGAGCTAATGACTCATTTCTGTATCAAACAAACAATTTTACTCTAATTCATAACATTATAAACAGAAGTCAATTACTTATAGCAATATATGTAAACATTGTTTTTTTAATTATTTGCCAAAGTTTGGTTGATTTCATGCACTAGAAAAAATTCAGTCCCATTGTTACGTCGTGATGCATTTTAAGCCAGACTGTGGACCAGACGTCAATTTAAAGGCATGATGGGATCTGACCCCTGATTCCAACAACTACATTCCCTGCCATGCCACATGTGCATGGCAGGAAGTGCAATTGTGGGACTGAGCATCAGAGCCCATCATACAGGTGCAGGAGGAGCCAGATCCTGGACTCCCCCTGCACCTGCAAGTAGCAATTCTCCAGCTGGGAGCATTGATCAGAGATCCCAACCACGGGAGTGTACCATGCTGCAGAGGCTGGAAGCCCCCAAATGGGGGAAACTCCCTGGTGATTGGCAGGGAACTCCAATCAGCTGAGGCAGGCTCCCAGCTGCAGGAGTGCAATAGTGGACTCCTATGGCTGGGAGACCCAGTTAGGTGTGCCCAGTCTCTGAAAAACATAGGAGTTTTGGAAAACCAGTGTGCTCCAGAGTCTGGGAGCACTGGACACCCATTCACTTAAAGGTGTGATAAGAACCAACCACAAAGTTATTACACAAAATATGTGTAATAGCTTTGTAGCCTGTTCCTCAAGTTATCATTTGATTTATCATTTAATCAAATGAGTGTGTGACCAGGTCCTTATTTAAAATGTGATTAACCATTTAATCATGTCCTGGGATCCTGGCTTTCTCTGATAAAAAAAAATCCCAATTGTCAGATTAATGAAACACCAATAATATAT